TCCATAGTTAAACCCAGCGCCTATAAGACTACATCTGCAAGCACATGGGTGGTTGTCAAACTTATGGTCCCTTTTTGGGTCCTTGATATAATACGGCACCCCGTATTTAGGGTACCCAAAAAAGGGCCCGAATTTTGACAACTACCCACATGTCCTTCCTTTTGCCGTTGAGCTGAGCAGAAACGGAGGGTTGGTGTCATGACGGGTTTTGCCGAGGCATCCCTGTCACAACATCGAGACCCAACCTGTGCGAAGAACGATTCGGCCTTGCTGCCAAACCATGGCGAAAGTACCAAATGTGTCAAAACTTCTGCAAGGCAAATGCTGGTGGCCTGTAAGCACAACGCTGGAAATACACTATTGAAGAGTGTTTTCGCGAAGCTTCACAAAGGCAAATCAACACAATCCGCGCCAATCTGATCACCACCACGATTTTTATGATGATACGCCACATCATACTCAATCAACATCATTCACTCTTGTAAACACCTAGCCGACCTAACCCTGAGCCCGATTGACACTAGTGACTGCCGATCACAGATAAGCCGCCAAGTAATAACATCCCCCAAGCTTGCACATGCCCCTATACTACATGAAATTTCCTAAGGCTGCTTGTAGGTCAAAAACTACACCAACACCATATTCCGGGTTCCTGAGGAGCTCCTTTCTTATCAGGATACCCTTCCCGACTATTCGGTCTAATGAGAGAACCCTGAAATAAAAAGGGGAAAGGGGTTCTACTCAGGAACCTAGTACTCTACTTAAGTACTACAGTAGATCTAGGTCTGTCCGACCTAGAGTCCTGTCAAAGGCTGAAGCATTATCTGCAAACGATTCTGGGGTCTGAGCTCAGGGTTTACCAGAACCCCCCAAGTACCCTTTAATAGGGCCCTTAAGGTCCTTCATGGTGGCTATTTAAGGTATGTTAACGGGTAGTTGGGGGGTCTAGGTGGGATCCAGGACTTAGGGCGTAGCATTTGCAATTCAGAGGTTTTTGGTGAGGCTAGACCCTAAACCCTAAACCCTATTCAGGGTGTAAGGTTCAGGGCTTCAGTGCGGAGGTTTTGGGCGTGGGAGTGCAAGCTTAGGGTTCGTGGGTGGCAAGTTGCAGGCCACCTGGCTTAATCTTGCCAAAGGATCCAAGTAATGGTACAGTATATACTTTAGTGGGCCCAAATACCTACTATAATGGTACTTGGATCCTTTGGGCTTTCCGCAGAGGGACGCACGTGGCACCAAGCAAAGGGAGTTTCCCAAATTCCTGGGTTCCCGAGATCCAAGGGGGTGCGGTTCCCTCTTAAGTACCCTTGTATGGCCACTTCTTCCCTCTATACTATACCACCCATAGAACCATAATAAAAATAATGTTACTAATATTCTCTTGGGTTTTATATGAACAAAAGTAGAAAGAATCCTAAGGAGACTATAGTATAGGGTTTAGGGTTGAGGGTTTTAGAACTTAGGGTTTAAGGGTCTAGGGGTTTAGGGTTTCATTTCCTCCCTCTATAGGTAAGAAGGCCGTGCTATCCTAAGTGTTGACTGTAGCTCACAAGAGCAAGAACCCCTTCTCGATCTCAAAAGAGCTCAAGGCAACATCTCACTGAACGTCGGAAATAGCTTCTCAGCGCAAGCATCCTGAACCCGAGCGCGATTTAAACCTTTAGACGAACACCTATGGATTGGGTACGGCCCCCATACAGTAACAGTCTATAATGGGGCTACGATTAAGGTCCTTATATCTCTAATCTCTATATTATGAAGACTATCCAACTGTTACTGAGTAGGGGCAGGACCCAACCTATGGATCTATGCACCAAAGCGCTTATAGGCACTGAAAGGCTGTCGATTCTTCACCAAAGTCGGCTGGAGCTGAAGGCCATGCAAGTGTAAACTCTACACTCGCTGAAGCGCTAAGCCTTCATGCTGGAACCCCAAGGGAGCGGGGTTTGGGGGCTTGTATACTATGACTGTAAAGAGGATCCCTCAGGAATGGCACGACTATAAAGAGGCCTTGCATATTAAACCTTACCGTCCTGAACCCGATCCTAGACTGTAAACTCTGCACTCTACTTCTACAGTGGCAGCGAAATTCTGTGATTCGGAGGTCTCTTCAGAAAACAAGCAGCAAAACCCAAAGAAATACTGTAGAACAGAGGCAAAGCCAAGTAAACGCCGCAAGCTCACAACGCCTCACAACTCTAAGGGCCTTCAAGGGGCCCTGTAGACGTCAGGGCTCAGGGGATAGAAGGCATGGCGGGCGGTTCAGAGTTCAGGGTTTAGGATTCGAACCTGCGGCTACGAAACCCCAATCTAATCCGGACCCCCTATCCCTAACTCGAGAACTTATTAAAAAGATCCTTACCCCATCGGACTACTGGACCCTTGCTCCCTTGCAGCTCTCAGATCTTGCATGGCCTCTTACTTGGCGGTTCACGGGTAGTTATAAGTGGGGATATGCGTAGGATAACTCTAACCCACATTAGGGTACTTATTACCCCGCTTGTGGCTGCTCATGAACCTCCAAGTATCTCGGTTCACTCTCGCCTTCCAAGCATGAACCGTCTTCGCTGGTGGCAGCCCCAGGCAAACCCTGGATCTTTGGAACATCGACCCACCGACTCCAAGATCCACTAAATCAAAATGAGCCAGAACCTATGGCTTATCATAGTTGCTATCAGGGTCTGGGGTATAGGGTTTAATATAGAGGCCTAAACACATAGAACGAGGTATTTGTGTATATCACACAAAAGTTGTGATGAACAACATTTCGATTGCTAACTATCTAGGCCACATATTCGATTTAAGGCCTGAGAGCAAAGGATCCGAGTGCGGACTCTCGGTCAACAAGCCCACCCTTCGTCTACGGGCTACAGTCATACGGCTGAAGATATAAATCCTGCATCACCTTAAAGACCCTGAACCATGTAAATTATGGTCTATTCCCTATCATGGGTCATGCAGGATTTATATCATCAACCGTAGGATCTCTCACGATGTCGAGGCTACAGGTTGATCTCTGGATTATGAGGGAAAGGTTACTCAATCCAGTCTGCATTGCATTACCTCCCGGACAATCCGAGACCCTAAACCCGACAGCGCTACCTAAAACCCGACATCCCGGAACCCAAGGACTAAACCCAGTCTGGTTTAATCTGATTTGGATGCTGGTTGTCGGGCTTCGTCGTCCCCTACCTGTACACCCTGAACCCCCCGAAACCCTGCGCCCTAAACTCCTGAAGCCGAGAACCGTATGAAGAAGCTTGATAGAGCCTTCATGATAGAGCCCTCGCAAAGAACCTATCAACCCCATTCCTTCCTTCTTTCTACTATAGGTAGTGATAATGTTCCTTGAAAACCTCTATACAGCTGTAGTGTTATATCGGCAAACCTAGGCCCTAGGCACCTCTACCAAAACCCTGTAAAGACCCACGAAACCTTACACATTATAAATCCCATACGAAACCCCAATCTCATGATTCCAGGCTCCTCTACGAACCCGCAAGGACAGTCCTCGCTATAGAATCCTGAAATGCTACCGACCCCCGGAAGCGAAAACCCCGAGTATAGAACCTTTAAAGGAAGCCCACTCAAGGAACCCTATTCCGAGCCGGTATCCCCAAACCAGAAAACCTAGGCCCTACTCTGCCAACCCTAATCTCTGAACCCTAACCCCTAAACCTTAATCCCTAAACCCTAAACACATTATGATTTCCTGACACAGAGCATCCAAAAGCGAACTATCCCGGGTTAAGGTAGGGCTTTATAACAAAAAACCCTAATCCCTGAAGCCTAAAGCGTACTCCCCAAACCCTAATTCAGCCCTATACCCTAAACCCTACCTGAACCCGGAATAACCTACCGTTTTAGGGCTCCTTATAATGATTTCCTTATATAAGTCCTAAAAAGGTAGGTTATTCCGGGTTAAGGTAAGCCCTGATCTCTAAACCCTTGGGTAGCTCTGTTGATCTTGGAGGCTCTGGGCCTTCCGGAAGAGCAGAGCGACGTAAAACTCCGAGCTACGGGTTTCGGTGGCAGGGTTTAATTAAAGTTTGAGGTTCAGGGCAAAGGGCAAGGGTTCACGGTGTAGGGCTTCGTTCAGAGTTCAGGGCTCAGGGATAAGTTCGATCCGCGTGACCAGCGTGGCCCTCTTTTCGGAGACACAAGTCCTGTTCAACGTAAGGACATCACGTCCGGTCATCAACTGCCCGCTTAAGCAGCTCGACATCCAGGGGTTTAGGAGGACCAGAAGCCTTTATTCACGAGAACAGGGTTCAATGGCTCAAGTGCGCAAAAACTCAACACAACACCCTAAACCCTAAACCCGCCCACCACCCCTCTCCTTCTGTGGGTAGGTGGGCGCTGTCGAGCGACAGCGAGACCTTGGCAGGCTCTGCTGGACTGCAGAGGCTGCCGACCACAACCCTGAGTGGTCACCAAGTGGTAGTCGCCTAGTTCGGTCTTTAATACATATTAATACCCTAAACCCGAGAAAATTGCTGTCGGGACACGCCCACCCAACCCTTCACGACTTGGGGCGGCCCCCAAATGGACAAGGGATGCCCCCCCCAACCCTTCACGACTTCACGACTTGAGGCGGCCTCCATACGGACAAGGGTTGCCCCACCCCTTTGAGCAAGTTCTAACTGTTGCTTGGACGGGGCCCCCAACCCGTCACCAAAGATCGGCAAATCAATGACAGGGCCCTTCGGCCCAGAACTCCCCTCAACGCAAAACCGAAATGTTGAATTTGGTACAATTCATTCTTCTACGTAAACGTTTACAGATCGTATCGGCTTGGCTGCTTGGGATATAATTGGCATTTTGTTTGGCCGGCTTGGGTTTGGCTCCCTATGAGTAGTGTTTGGGTAGCCTTGGGGTGGGCATGTCTGCATACTGTTGCGTTCAGCTGACCTATGTGTACACCACAAACCCTAAACCTTAAACCCCGGCTGTCTTGAAAGAAGCTGCGCGGCATCCAGGCCGCCACGAGAAGCATCTTCTCATAGCGGGATGACTGGCCTGGCAAGGCCAAACCCAGCGACTCCAATATCCCTTGACTGAAATACCTAGGGTTCCTTTACGGGATCTATAGGGTTTAGGGTTTAGGGGACTTCAATATCCCTTGATAAAGGAATGAATTATATACCTAATGTGATTTAAGGCATACTCCTTAACTATGGGATATTGGAGTCTCTGCCAACTCAATACCGCCAGATCCCGAAACTCCTAAACTTTAGGCCCGGGAACCGGGTCCAAAAAACACCTGAACTCCTGAACCCCCAAAGCCTAAACAAGGTTTCTTAACGATTAGAATATATTGGGGGTTTCTGAAAGCATGAGTATGCGAGGAGGCTTCGTGTGAGGTTTAGGGTTTTGGGTTTGATTGGGGTTCAAGGTTTAGGTTCAGGGTTTAGTAAGGGTCTGCACGCAGTACACCGCAGGGGCCTTAATCACAAAATAGGGTGTGGGGAAGATGTAAAAATTGAAATTTTCATTCCTTGTATAGGCACACGGAGCCTTAGCGACAGCCTAGCAGAACCCTCATTCCCAGACCCTGACATCTACATGGGTTTAAGTTCTAGGCTTTGACAGGATCCACCCTTGCGTAGGGTTAAGGGTTCACAACTACGGTGCTGTAAATCCTTGAAACCCCAAAATTTTCGACGGCTGAAGGAAGAGCAGCCAGTGTGTAGGACTTCAATTCTGGGGCTTAAGGCCAGCAAACTTTCAATCGGAACAGCTTAGGGACAAGCTGATTCAATGGAACTACCTAGAGTCTCTATTGTAGTTCCTTTTTATTTGGTTAACCAGTTTTGTGTTTAGGATCCTATAACAGAGATTTTGGTTAACCAAAAAAGGAACTACAATGGAGACTCTAGGTACTTGTTCAACAGTCTAGACCTGCACAAGTTATGAGCCCCTATAGCACACAATCAAAAACCCCATAAAACCCTGTAAAACCCCATAAGATCTCATCTCTTCAAGGCCTCAAAAGGTGGGATGAAAGCCGGTGGGATGAAAGTAGGTACGATTACGGATCCGCGATGTAAGAACTCCTATCTTGGGCTTCTCCCACCTACCTTCATCCCACCCTTGGAGACCTTTGAATCCCTGTCCAAGGTTCCAAGAACCCCCCCAAAAAAACACCGGCGCCTGCGTAAAGCAAGGATGCTGCCCTGCAGGCAAAAAGGCTGAGAGGCGGAAGATTCAGGATTCCCCGCACGATTCTTTTGGGGATTACGGTTTAGGCTTTGTTTTAAAGTGCATCGGACTTTTGATTACTCGCCACGGTTTAGGCTTTAGAGGTTAAGGTAAGGTTAGAGCCTAGGCTGTTGCGGTTTAGGGGTTTCGGGCTCCTTTGAGGGTTAATCATTTAACAGCGCCTTTTAGGGTTCAGGGTTTAGGCTTTAAATTAGGGGTCTAGGCTTCAATTCGAGTTTAGGCTTTAGGGGTTTTAGGGGTTTCGATTTAGGCTTCAGGGCCGTTTAGGGTTTCGAGTTACTCCTGGCTTAGATTGATGTGATGCGGGTTTTGCATGATTCATGTATCGCTCGGTTAGTTCTGCATGCTGCACAAAGGGGTCTGAATAGTGAGGAGCAAGATTCCCATGTAGCCTCATAAACCTATACTAAGAACCCTGTTCTAATACTGTTCTAATATCGCCAGACCCTAAGCCCTCTATTACTGTTTTGAGTGGGCTTCAAGCACTTCTGTCGTGGGCTACCTGCTCAGAGCTCTAGTGAGGGTTCAGAGGTTAGGATTTAGGGTGAGGGCTGACCTGCACCCTGCAAATCTGACCTTAGAGTTTTGGGTTTAGGCTTCTGCTAGATGATTTGATACAGGCACAAACTACAATGCCCAGAACATGTTATGAAACTCACGGTACACAAACCTGTTAGCCCCTGCCCTGTACAAAAGCTTAGCCCCCCGAACCTCTAAACCCTGAACCCTGCGAGCCCTTGAGAAGGTAGGAGCCCGTGGGGCTCACAAGCCTGCAAATCCCTGCAAGACCACCGCATGAAACTCTGCAGAACACATACAAAAGCAGAGAAAGTCCGGTAAAACACAAAAGGCCAAACACAACACTGATAATAACAATAGAAACCCTACCAAGCCCTACACCACACGAAAAGAACCTGCAACCCGCCATAAACCTGCAGAGCCCTATAAATAGCTAAAACCCTCTAGAAAGACCCTAAAAAAAAAACTGTTCTACACAAACCGCCTGACGGTCCGAGGCATCGCCCTCCCGACGTGGAGTTCTCTGCACACGCCGCGCCCGTCGCCTGCACCGTTCTGCCAATGCAGGGTTGTGTTGTGTGTGTGTGTGTATGTTTTTGTATGTTTATGAGGCTGATGAAGTGTTAGCGTGGGTGTTCTGTGTTTATATCCTTCAACGGGATTTATGGCGTCTTCTCATGGGGCTTTACTTTACTCCTTAATGATGGCTGGGGCGTAGGGTTCCAGGGCCTAGGCCTTAGGAATGCTTGGGCTTGGGGAGACGAGCACCCCTGCGACTACGACTACGATTGCAACTACGATTCGACGACGACCACCACCACCACCACCACCACCACCACCACCAATGCTGCTAGTGCTGCTTATACTGCTGCTGTTGCTAACAAGACAACTTCTCTCTACTTCTAGTGTTCTAGTAGCGTCACCATGACGATGACGCCGGCGACGACGACGACCTCTACCAATACTACGACCAGTGCTGCTGCTGCAGAAAGAAAAACCAAACTGCTGCTGCTGCTACTACTACTACTACTACTACTACTACTACTACCACTACCACTACAACCAATAACACTACCACTTCGGGTACCACTACCACTACTACTACGACCACGACCACGACCGCGACCACTACCACCGCCACGACTACCCCTACCACTAGTGCTTCTTCTAAGTAGACGAATGACCAAATCCAACCCCTAAACCCTAAACCCCAAACCTCTAAACCCTAAACTCTTAACCCTAAACCCTGCAATCACCTCGAGACGGCAGCAGCACCAGCGGGCACAGCGCTCACCGCCACCGTGCCGACCAGCCTCAACAACAATACCAGCCATGAGCATGCTGAGTGTAGGGCTTAGGGCTCAATGGAGTCAGGTAGCAGTTGTAGTAGTAGTAGTAGTAGTAGTAGTAGTAGTAGTAGAAGTAGTAGTAGTAGTAGTAGTAGTAGTAGTAGTAGTTGTAGTAGTAGTAGTAGTAGTAGTGGGAGTAGGAGTAGAAGTAGAAGTACAAGTAGAAGTAGTAGTAGCAGTGGCAGTCGTCGTCGTAGTCGTAGAGGTAGTCGCAGTGGTAGTCGTAGTGGTAGTAGTAGTAGTAGTAGTAGTAGTAGTAGTAGTAGTAGTAGTAGTAGTAGTAGTAGTAGTAGTAGTATTCATTCCCCACGCAGCGGACACGATCCACCTAGCGAGAAGCACGGTCTTATGCCGGAGCTCTCGAGGGAGCTCGATGCTGTGCCCATGGGCCGCAGCAACTGCCAGATGCAACTACAGCGAGCGTCGATTGCACAAGCTGGAAAACATTAACTAAGAGGAGTCACCACAGACATTCAGCCAGTGCGTACCTGGCTTGTTTGGCGTCGTAGCACAACGATACACGGCCACATATCAGGTGTGTCTGCTTCGGTCAGTGCAGGTGCAAAGGGGGACAGCACATCATCGCACAGTTTTCGATGCAATGCGAAGTAAATGCATGGATCGCCGGATGGTCGATGCAGGATAACTGAGCGTGCCTCATACAGACATTGATATGAGGGTCCATCAGTCGGCTCAATGGTGAGCGTACAGGCCTCCCCAGCGGCAGCTAGCCAAGCCTGCAATGTGTTCGGCCCGGTGACCAATGCAGAACCTGCACATTGATTGTACACATATGTATACAAGGTAGGCGGCGCAGTTCGGAGCACCGGCCTAAAGGCAGAGTCTCCCCATCCCCATAGGCCACCTGCTGTAGAATCAGGTTGCACGGGAAAGATTATCGGCATGGGAATTGTCAAGTCTGCCTGCTCGGAAGCAGGTGTAGCAGTGACCCCTGTTTCACACCATTCCCACAGACCTGACAGGTCACCAAGTGCAAGTTGTTGTAGCAGGTATTGGAGTTGAGCACGCAAGTGAGGGGCCTGCGCCGTGGACGGTATACCCCCCGCTACAGCAGACCAGAGTAGATCACCTTTGAGGGAGATTAGAGCATCGGGAGTGGTGCAAATTCTATGCCAGAGATGCTTAAGCAACCCATGCACATGCTGGGACCTGGCGGTGTCGCACCAGAGTGGCCACAGAAGGCATCGCAGAATCTGAGACAGGCCTGGGATATCATCACGAACATTCCAGTAAGACAAGCTACAAGGAGGGGTCGGGGTGGCAGCATTAGGGGGATGACTGGGTTTAGGTGCAAGCGGAGTACGACCAGGCCGGCTCACCATCCGCGGAGGGCCCTGGCCTGTTGGGAGAGTCCGCCGCGCTCGCGACGGAGGCGGCATCCCATGGTGTGCAAGGCTGCGCAACCTATCCAGGAATGAAGAATTTCCCACACTCGGTTCCCCATGTCCCTGACGCTGATCTCGATCGCCAACTGCACCCATGCCGTTTGCGGAGCCCGACTCAGTCCCCGGAGGGACTGAAACCGAAATAGGGTCTCGTCCGTGATGATCTTGCGAAGTTCCACGGATTGGCCTATCAGGTCGTCGGTCGAGTGCCGCTTGCCTCCCTGCTTTTCCTTGAGATCTTGTGTCGTGGGATCCCAAACCAGAGTCTTCCACTGGCCCTGATCCGTCAGCCATCCCAGTTCTTTGGCCTTCTGCGTGGATTCCTGCTGATCCTTCGTCGCCTTCAGTCTCTGACCCAGCTCGATAAGAAAAGCCTTCATCATAACCAGACGTAGTGGCTCCGCGTTAAAGACGGATCCGCCTGGTATGTGGCGTTCCACTTTTAAAGAGGTGGCGAACAGGATCGGAAGCAGCCCCTCGTCCCCTGGCTTCACGAAGAGGTACAACGTGTGGTCCTGCATCATGCTGTTGATGGCATACTCGTGTTTGATCGCCAAGGAGGTGAGCTTCTGAATCATGTCCGGTATACCGTACTCCGAAGTCCAGGGTGTGCTCCATGATCCTTGTCCCGCGGGCCAGTGGTCCTGGCCCCAAGTTGTGGACTGTCGATTCCCCATTGGCCTTTCGCAGCTGCCTTGCCCTTGTTCTTGCCCTTCCCTTTGCCTTTCGGCGCCTGAGGCATCTGCACGGCTGCCTGTGGATGGAAGGCGGTCAGGGCATCGGCTGTCCGGGGCCGTTTCTCCGAGGGGCCTTCCTCCCTGTCCCTCTTGGGCTGAAGCGACGGACAAACTCCTCCGAAGAATTGGCGCTCCTGCGCAGTCATCTCCAGGGCCTCCTCCATGTCTGCTGCAAAGAGTCAACTGTAGGAAACAGCTGACTTGAAGAACAATGCAGGATCGCCAGTGTGTGTGTGTGTGTGTGTGTGTGTGTGTGTGTGCCGATTAACCTGTTTTTGCTTGCAGTATCTACAGGGGAAAACCATGGTGCGTCGGAAGGGCTTAAGAAGCTCTACAACCTTGGAAAACTGATCAGTCCACTCCGCATGTTGTACAGTCATGTGGCGCTTCACTGCTGCGGTATCCACACACCATTGTCGACAGATGGGGCAATGATGGGTGAGCTCTTGTTGCACTTCCGGCAGACTGAGCAAAGTATGCCAGTGTTGCGTGCGCAGAATCTGTGCAATGCTGGGCCTGAGGGTCAGTGGTAGCACACTGGTTCGTCCCTAGACTGTGAAGCAGGATCAGGCATGGCTCGAACTGATAGTGAGGTCGGAACAGAATCAGGATCGGCCGGGGCCCTAGTGAGCGGCTGAACAGGTACGGCGGTGGTCGCATCCTTTTGAGAACAGAGGAATGGACATTGGCCTCTGGCAATATGGTTGCGAAGGTTGCTCCATTTGCGGAACGGATACCTGCACAGGCCACACGTGGGCATACCATCGATGCTGTGCTTGTACCTGTCGAATTCGAACACTGCCTGCTTGGTTGTGCGGACTTGGTGTTTCCTGGCTTCATGGGCGCGACGAAGGTGGTAGGTAGCAAAGGTCTCTCCGCAGAAGCGACATTCCAGGATGGCCTCAGGTTCACATTCGCGGGCTCCTGGGGCATGGCCTCGAGGAGGAGGTTGCGAGTCCAAGGAGGTCTGAAGACCCTCGGCAAAGCGTAGGACGCACGAGGCAAGCAAAGAGGAGTCCGCGGCTTGGAGTTGCCACAGGTTGGCCTGGAGACGTTGCAGGTCCCTGGTGATAAGGACAGACACATCCAGCACCCCAGCTTTTTCGAGGATAGCATCGTTGCTGACATGACTCAGATGCGCTGGGGATCTGAGAATGGCACGTAGTTGCCGAAGATAGAGGGTACGGAGCTGTTGGAGACCACCTGCAGGCAAGCCGGTGGCCGCAAGCCCATATGTGAGCATCGGAAGTGTGCTAGCTCGCCAAATATTAAGGCGATCTTTGAGGAAGAGGCCTCTCTTAGAGCACACTACCTTCCGGAGTCTGGACCATTCGGCCTGCACAAGCTGGACACGGTATTGCAAGGTGGCAAGGCGGGGATTCTTGTAGCTGATCCGAACTCCTAAGTAGGTGTGAACCTCGGCTACCGGGAACTCGAAGAGCAGACCCTTGGGTGTGCGCAAGCGCAAAACCTGGCCATCAGGGGTGTTTTTCACATGCTGCTTAAGCCATTTAGATGCAAAGGTACCTCGGAAGAGAAAAAGAACCGCGGATTTCTGGGCATTGACCGTAAGGCCGGCCGCGCAGAGGACGTCAAGAAGCTGACCTAAGCGTTCTTCAAGGCGACATAGTTCTGCGTATATGATTGAACCTGGCTGCCTGCATGGAAGTCGTCGGCATAGGTCGTGACATCTGCGGTGACCCAAAGTGGGTCAGTGCAGAGGGCAAGCTCATACAGGAAGCGTCCAGTCACGAGTGACCATATGAGCGGCGCTATGAGGCATCCTTGTTTCAAGCCTCGGCTTGCGGGTATGTCAACAGTCTGGCCTTGTATGGTGAGGACATACTTGATATCGCGGTACCATTCTAACACCTGAGCTTGTAACTCGGCTGGGACTGATGCATCTTCAAGGGCAGCGGCTATGTGTGCCCACTCCATGTGGTCAAAGGCTGAGCTTAGGTCGAGTGATAGCTGCAGGCCTCCAGCAGAATTCTGGGGCCTGGGGATTCCAGCTCTGGCTTCGCGGGTGGTCCAGTCAGTCGACATACAGGAATCAATGACGGCCTGACAGTGTGCTTGGACTCGGAGAACAGCATCGAGAGTCCCTCGGCCTGGAACATAAGCCCATTGGGGTAGATCGCGGAGGTATTCAAGGACATAAGGTCGAAGCCTATTTTGAAGAATCTTCGAAACAATACGGCCTGACACTTCAGTGACCCCTATAGGTCGTAGGTCCTTAGGGAGGGTGGGACGCGTGATCTTCGGAATGAGCGCTAGCCAGGCCACGTGCCAAAGCTCGTCGACAGCAGTGAGGTTATTGACAATCTCAGCCAGCTTGGGCATGACCACGTCTGAGCAGAGGCGCCAGGCCGCTATCGGAGCAAGGTGTTCTGGGACAGCCTTGTGGACTGAGAGTTGCCAGGGCACTGGACAGGGCAGCGGGGTCCATAGCGAGACTGGGCATGGTGTCAACTCGGTCAGGCTGGCAGAATTGGCCAGTGTAGCTACTGCGAAGATGGGCTGAGAGCAGTTGGGCCTGTTTCTCCGCAAAGATCAGGCCTCCATCCGGGGCTCGTAGCTGTACCTGAACAAACCGCTTCTTGGGTGCCAGTCGCTGGACCCCCTGGTAAAGCGCACGGATATTGTGTCGACGGGCATGTGTACCCAGCTCCTGAAGCCTGTCGGAGTACCAGGCATGTTTAGCAGCACGGCGAAATCCCCTGTGGGCCTTCTGGAATTTGGCGAAGCGAAACCACGCTCTGCAAATGGTGGAGGTTTGGCGGCTGGCCGCCTGACGCCACTGTCGGTAGTGGGCCCACATGGCACGTATGCCTCCTTGCATTGCCGGTGACTGCCATGGTGCCAGCCTCGTGCTGCCAGATCTTGGTGGTAGATGCTGCTGCAGGGCAGACGTGAGGCAGTCACTAATGTCCTGGATAGATTGACAGCTCGCGAGGTCTTGTTGCACCGACATTCGCAGCTGGAGAGCCTGAGGGCACTGCGGTTCCGAAAGGAGTTGTATGAGATCATCCTTATTCCAGGGACGCATCTGCACTGAGGGTGGGCGATTTAAAGAGGCAAACCGAGTCAGGGGCAGGACTCCACTAAGCGGGATGTGTTTGCCGCCGGCTCGCCAGGCAGCAATGGTTAGGGAATCCCGGCCGGTCCTTCGGGCTAAAGGGTGGGCCTGAGCAGCGCGGGTCAGCACATGGTCTATGAGACTCCGCTGTTCACCGCAGATGTAGGTGGGTCCCGCACGACGGGACCATGAGTTGAGGTGCGTGAGGTCATGGTCATCGAGGAGGCGGGTAAATCTTGAGGCGTCAGCAGGGAGTCGGCCGTTCCACTTAGTAACGATGCGACCTGCGTGTGGATGTGCAGCTAGCGGCGTATTAAAGTCTCCTAGGAGCAGTAGGGTGTGCCTGGTTGGGAGTGTTTTGAGGGTATGAAGCTTGTCCCAGACAGCATGTCGAACCTGGGCAGCAGTCTGCGGCGGCGGATTCTGCGACTCCTTCGCCTCAGAAGCGGTTTTGGATGGTGGGTTCTGCCAATTCATAGGACGTTGATAGACAACCAAGACGTCAAGGGCCCAGGCGGCATGAGTCAGGCGCACATGAAGGAGACGGCCTGGGTAGGGTTCGGCTGTGGAGATGACACAGTCAGCGGAGAAAGCTTTGTGGACAAGGAGCAGCACTCCAGCAGCTTTGTAGCCGTTGCGATGTGAGCTGAGGACCCTCCATGGGCCGGTAACATAATCAGAGTTACTGGTTTCAGCCCAATGGGTTTCTTGGACTGCGACGATGTGTGGTCGCTTGTCCGGGGCAAGAGCAGCAAGACCTCGCTGGACAGGCCACCGCAGTTGAGGCTAAGGAATCTTACATGGGGTCCCTTTGGGGTGATGCAGGCCTTAGCACGTGACGTGGCTGAAGTAGTAGCCTGGTCCTGGGTGTGGTGCTGAGAGTGAAGCTGATGCAAGGTATGCCAGCGTCCACGGTAGCGAGTGCCACCGGCACTTGAGGCGGCTGCTCGACGGACAGCTCGCTTTTAGGAGCGTTTCCTGGCCGAGCTGTATTGCCCTATTGGGATAGACACGTGGCCAGCGACCTGAGTGCCAGGCAAGGCGGTCGGGCAGGTGAGGACACCTGTGGGACAGCTGCATAACCAGAGGCAGGCAGGAGGCGGGTGAATGGGCCTGCAAGATGATATGAAGGTCGATTCGGACGACGCGGCAGATTTGGGCAGACTAGAGGCTGCTTTACAGTGCTCGAGAGAGGCTGCTGCAGTGGATGCCCAGTATGAGTGAAACAAAGACTGTGGTGACTCTGGGTTGGGACACGTGTGTCAGCCAACGCCACTTGAATGCAAGAACATCAAAGGTGTTGCTTCTCACGCCTAGGCTTCCCAGCAGACAGAGACTGACATGCTGGTCCTGAGAGTCCTCGGCTACGACTCTCGACCCTCGGTTCTGCTCCACCTGTTTTCTGGCAGCTCGAACGCGCAATAGAAATAGGAAGGGGTTGTCGAGAATGCCATCTGTCGGTGAAGCTTTGGGACTTGGGACCCAAATGGCTCGGATTTGTCAGAACGTAGCTGTGCAAGTGTCGATGGCATCGCAGTATCATGCGGATGCATGAAATTCCCCGCTCGGAATATAGTTCACGCCAGAGCCACCTCTTACACTGTGACCACATGTACCAAGAGCTTAGGGACAGCAAGGGTAGGAGCCTACGGGGCTTTCGTCGGGCTCGGTAGCCAGGATTACGACTGGGGAGGCGGACTGCGTAGCATCGAGCTCGCAGAGGCCTGGGTGTTTGCAGTCTAAAAAGCAGGTGCAGTATGTACGCCCTGCGGTCACAGTGATACACTGGGCTGTGGTGTGTACTAGTCCATTTGCTCCAGCGACGTGTTCGCTCGCTGTACTAGAAGAGGCAGGCTTCGAAATCTCAGGCATGCCCTCAGCCTGTAGTGCATAGTGCTCCTGCATGCAGCAGAGCATGGCACAAGGTCCATAGGGTAGTTGCAACCCCCAGTGTCCTTCCATGGGCCTATTTTGTTGTGTTGGTTCCATTTGAGAGGTCCCACGGAGTCCTGCCAACACATGGGATGAGTGAGGCTCAAAGGGAGGTCATATTCCCAGGGCGGTGACAGAGGTGCTTTGCGATGGGATAGCACGAGCCACATAGGACCTGTCAGTGGAGACACACGAGGTTCACACAAGTAGGGCCGGCATGGGAGTCGACAGGGACCCGGCTTGACACAGATGCGGCAGTGAGGTCCAGGTAGGAGGTCTCCGAGTGGTCCACTATCCTGTGGGAGGTCACTGCTTAAGAGGGCGGGCTTGTCGGGAGCAGTGTCGGCACAGCCTGACGCTTGAGGCAGACCTTGACCATGTAAGGGGCACTGGTGCATTCGAGTGCGCTCACGGCAAGGTGCTGGGCTTCCGGCGGTGGGCATAGATTGGCCGTAGTATGCCGAGCACTTAAATCTCCGTGGGGGCTTGCTACCCGGAACACGCCGGCAAATGAAGCAGCCCGGGCTGTGGCAGTGCGGGGGGTCCGGCTGCTGTTGAAGGAAGACATGCGGCCAACCCTGCAAGTCATGAAATGTGGGACTGGCCAATGTGTCTCACAACACCAGGAGTTCCAGGCTGGTGGCCTCCTACCAGTGGCGCATGCATACCTGTGACAGTGCCCATCCGGAAGGCTTTGTGAGAGGCGGTGGCTGAGAGCGGCAGTGAGTCCTGCCTGCCGCAGGGGCATCTGCGAAAAGGCCGGCAGAAAGCTGACGCCCTGCTTCCAATTCGTCTGTTGTAGCCTGAGTGCACAGCAGACAGCACAGGACAGAGAGTATGCTGATCATGACAGGCTACACAAGTGCAGAGGCTCGACAGGTAATTTGTCTGGCTGCGGAGGGATCCGGCGTTTGCCGCATTGTCCTGGTCTTCCGAGACCGGTCGGTCAGGAGCCACATGTCTTGTGTGCCAATAGTCCAGTCGACGGTGGACGGTGGCCCATCACAAGGGAGCATATGCGTCGGCAGCTGGCGAACGGTGTCAACTGGAGCAGGTGGGACTGGATCCTTTGCCACATGGACCTGGGATATACCAGTCTGTAGGCGTTGGCGAGCCACCAGTAATCCTGCACTGTGAGCGGCGTTCCCTGCTCCCAGCGGTGCCAGAGCTTATGGCAGTCCTGATAGATAGCTCGCCATGCAGACCAAGGCCGCTTCAGCATCAGCGCCACGGAGCAGGCCCTCCAGCGGCGTCTCGCGCCCGTGGTGGGGACGCGCGCAGCTGCCACGTAGAACCACCGAGGCCAGCGTGAAGTCCGGGCTCGGCGCCAACGCCTGAGGTTGGCAGCTCTGCTGCCAGAAGATGCCGGTGGTGGCGGGGTGCAAGGAGCCGGAACCAAGGGCGGTGTCTCCAGGCGTTCTTCGAACCATCTGGAGTTAAGAGAGGATATCGCGTTCCTTATTGTCCTGTCTCGGCTTGGCAGTGTGCTTCGGCTGCGCGAGAGGTCGAGGCATCTTCTTCGGCTTTGGCCGTAGGCGAGGCGAGCTCTGTCCAGGTGGTTCGGGAGCGGGAGCCCTCTCTGCGAGTGCTCTCGGCGGTTGGCCGAGCCAGTGGACCGTGGCCTCTTCCTTGTCGATGCCGGTCTAGCCAGTGTTCGGGTACTGCGTGGTCGCCTCTGGGAGTACAAGGTCAGTGGTGGCGCCGCACCAGATCGAAGACTCGCACCCGCATCTGTCGTCGGGTCTCGGGCCTCTCGGGCTTCTCGTGCAGCTCGGCGTTCCCGCTGACCCGGTTTGTACCTCCACCGACATTGGCGTGCATCCCAGCCCATGGGGATCGATCCTAGCCTATACTTGGAGAAATCAATCCGCGTCGCCTAAAAGGCCCGTGCACAAAGTGTCGTTGAGGCATATGGGGGTGACATAAGGGACTATGGTTGACAAGGGCGTGGTCCCTATGCGAACGTCTTTGGGCCTGTAACATCATCAGGCAGGCGGGTGAGAGACCGGCACACTGACGCCAGGAAGCAAGGCTCTGTGCATGAGATGCTGGCACATGCCAGGGTTGCCAAGGGCCTGACCACATATTGGGCGTCGGCACCAAGGCTAGGCTCCTTAAGACAGGGGAGTACTTGGGCTGACTGGGGCAGGCATCGTGGCATGTGCGTCCGTGGCCTGCCAGACAGGCCACCAGAAGGTTCACATGATGTGACTGCCAAGGCTGCTGGCTGAGGCTGTGGCGACCGCGAGCCGGCCAGCCTGCACGTCGGGTGGAGGGCGTACACTGGATAGTGCGGGCTGGAAGGAAGGCCTGGTCCTTACTCGTGGAGAGGTCCCGGCCACAGGCCTGGGGTACAGGCTTTACTTGACTTGACGTATGCAGAGCTGTCGGGGTTTCTGCCGAGAGCCGGCCGACCTCCCAGGAGGAGGCAGCCGAACAATCCGCCATGCGACCTGAAGGTGTGGGGCACGCGGGGGGTCCAAGAGGCCTTATCAAGAGGTCAGGGTGACGGCAGGTCCAGGCAGGCACTAGTCGCATGTTTTCAGCACCGCTCTGTTGGCCATCTGCTTCACACACGGTCTGCAGGGGCTGTACGTACCACGATCTCAAGCTGAAACCCCAAATTATGGGGAACAGTGACGGTGAGGCATCCTGGGGTCGCCATCGCTTGCGGCATGTGGTCTGTTGCCCTGCCGGACTCAAGTGTGACACCGTCAGAGCGTCTGGACACGTGGATATTCGGCACCGTGGCATCTCGCAGCGAAGGGGATCTCGTAGATGGAGAGGTCGTGGGGAAAGTCCCGAATGCCGTTGCCGGAGTGATCGGTCCCAGATGTGTTCCAGAGCCCACTGGCCGATTGACTGGAGTCGGAGGAGGGGGGCCAGCAGGTGGCCATCCTGTTCTGGTAGCCGGTGGAGTTGCCGTGGCCGATCCTGATCCTCGGCGCCCTTCAGGGAGATCT